AAATCGAAGTCTTTCTGATCGTCAGTGACCTTGCATGAAGCTGAACTTCTCCTGTTCAATACTGCTTTTGTTATTTAGGAATCTTGTACTACTTTCATCGCGATGGTAATCGATTGTGATAGTCTATTTTTCTATAGGCTATTCTCTTTTCTATGGGCGCTCTCTATCATAAATGCCATCTAAACTTGTATAGGGCCACCGTCGATGCTGTATATGTTTACCTTTGGTGATATTCATAAACTTAAAGCGTTAAGCTAAGCAAATATTCCACGCGGTGAAACGGTCTAGACTATTTCTGTTGGAGCTTATCCATTGCGTTCTCTTGATATCACTTCAAACTGATGAACGAAACGAAGATTCGTGACATCGCTTTTGATGGGATTTTCTAAACAATTATTTCAAAAGACAATTTCGTTGACGACTGATTGCTGATGGCACTGATCGATAGAAAAAGCTGAGAAACAGACGAAACGAGGAATGACCCGCATGATGTGGTGGTGAACGCGTTAGCTCTGGAAAGAGTAATAACGCGTTCATTCCCCACCGCAGGCACCTGCGGTCCGGAGTTTTACGAATATCTCAACACTATTGTGCTTATTTCAAAGGAGTTGATGTGATGTTATGCTCTTCACTGACGGTACATTCACCTGTTGTTTTTCTAGTCGTCGTCTCTACTTTGAAATATTATGCTTCGTCAGTGAACGAATCTCTGTTTCAAGAAGACGCTCACTTCCGAGCGTGCGTTGCTCGTCGTCGTTGCCTCCTACCGTTCATTTTGTTCCGGTTCTACTTCACAGTAGTCGACAGAAGGAACAACTAAGGATTTCTCTCTCTCTTTCTCGCTTTCTCGCTCGCTGACCTCCTCTATTCCTCTGGCTGCCTCACTGTCTCTATTCATTCCTTTATCATTCATTTGAAAAGGTTCCTTTCATTAATGTAACCGTTGGTTCGGAATTATTGCTCGATAACCAACCTCATTATCCTCTTCATATTTGTTACAAATAAAAATTATTTCTAAAATGTCCTTAGTTGGGTTTTTTGCCTTTAGTTGCGATANCCTCCTCTATTCCTCTTGCTGCCTCACTGTCTCTATTCATTCCTTTATCATTCATTTGAAAAGGTTCCTTTCATTAATGTAACCGTTGGTTCGGAATTATTGCTCGATGAACAACCTCATTATCCTCTTCACATTTGTTACAAATAAAAATTATTTCTAAAATGTCCTTAGTTGGGTTTTTTGCCTTTAGTTGCGATAGGGTTACGTAGTCAGTGTTTGTAGTGCAATCGGTGAATGTGCGTCTGTAAGAGCGACTTCCACTTCAATGAAGCCTACGGCATAAAATGTGACGAATTTTTGAGTGCTTTTTTGAAATTTTCTTTGTAAATTGCTACGATCGAGGTAAGAATTTCCCTTGAATCTGTATTCACAATAGGGTTGGATTCAGAGTGACGGAGGTCTTAGTCATGACTGAAGTATAGCTCCATGAAAAACGGGACATTTACCGAAGCTTAACGTCACTTTTATGTACTGCCTTCCAGAAATCTTTCCTCTCTTTACCGAGCATGTGGAGCCGTAGTCGGAGACGCTCTGCAACACGTAGAGTCGACTCCCGCTCCTATGGTCCACCAAGTCTTCCATCCCTCCGGGCTTGACAAATTGGTACTGGAATTGTTTGGGAGGATAGCGGCACTGGCTCAATACATCGGTAGAGTACCGCGTGTCATTGTAAAGGCCAGATTTGCATTCAGTCGCCTCCACCGATGCTTAATGCATGACGCATCCATCCCTCAGGGACTAAGCGAAACCGAGAGCTTTATTTTTTATTTTTTTACATCAAAATAGAGGCATCTAAACTTTTGAATACCAGCAGTAAACATCACCATATTTTAATAACGAAGAATTCAGTGAGTACTGTTGTTCTTATTGCTCGCTTATTGACTTATTGATTGAAACAAGGTAAGAAGGGTGTAAAATTCTTTTTGATGATAGTGAGAGTTCTTTTCCTTCGCTGTGATACCATTTTTGACAGACTCTTATGTGTCGAAACTTGGCATAGAAAACCTGCCGAACTGTTTGTTCTTCATCATCTGAATAGAAATGGATATGAGCCAGTGCTTTTTATAGGCATATGAGTAGTTTTCGTTCCTGTTTGTGCTAAAGTATATCTCGTTGAATCTAGGATGATTTGAAGCTTTTGCGTTCGAGTTATGATCCTTCCGTTCATTTACAACCGTCCCGCCTGCCATATTTACTATTTACTCTTTTGCTGTTTGCTCTTTGTCTATATCGGCCTTTTCTCCTTTCCTCTATCTAGAGTTTCCCATCAGACGTGTTCTTTCGTAGTATTCTTCATGAGTATTCCGATTTTTGTTGTTCTGTTTAGCACTTTACAATCTGCCTTTTTGTGTTGACATTCTTAGCAGTCCATATCTGATACTCACAGTTCTTATATGATGTTATCACTGTCTCCATTGATTTTCTTTATCGAAGTTATCTAAAGCATCTGTTTTTTTTTTGCGAAAGAAGAATAATTTCAATTTTTATTTACTGCCTGCTAATTTTTAATGGCAGGGCTTTATGTGAAATATAACCATAATTTTGTCATGATATTTCCAAAACTCCGGGCTGCTGGTGTCTGCGGTGGGGAACGAACACACTATTACCCTCTCGGGATCTAACGCACTCACCACCACACCATGCGAATCCTTCGTTTCGCCCGTCTGTCAGATTAACTGCTCTCATGCTGACTTGTGCTCCACAGATCAATCCTGTTGACGGGTGATTACTGGTGGCAGTGATCGATAGAACTAGCTGAAAGACAGGCGAAACGAAGGACTCGCATGGTGTAGTGGTGAACGCGTTAGCCCTCAGAAAGGGTAATAGTGTGTTCGGTCTCCACTGCTGACACCAGAAGAAGAACTGTTTACAATCTTCCGCCTTCATAATCATTGCACAAATTTTAGTTTTGGTGTGGAAGAGGTTTTGGTTATACATCCTTTAAGGGTCTTTGTAGTTCAGTGGCTAGAGGTGCTGTGCAATGTACACGTGGTTGTTGGTTCGGCCCCATGCCCCGAACAAACGAAGCCCTACCATCACTTCATGGTCTGAAAACTGGTATCATACTTGTCTGCGAAAATAGTAGTACTGATTTGACATATCAGTAGGCCGCCGCAAGTGATTTTATAGTCCAAAAACGCATTTAAACACTTCTACGATGGCACTGTCGAATGTGTGACGGACACATCCTTCAGTAGTGTAAGTAGTGGTCAACGCCGAGCACTTTATCCTTCATACGTAGTAAGTTGCCCATCAACATACCCTTCCAGGCTCTGAAGAAGGCGATACTGCCGAAACGTCAGCTTTAACGGAATAAAGAATAAAGTAACACCTCGTGTTTGCTCAACAAGAATATCGAGAACTATTTTATCAGTGCCGAGGTTAATAAAATGTCGGTCGTGGGAATTATCCTTCATATTTTTATCTATTCACTATTTTTGCATTTCATTCCTTCAATTGGTTTTCGCAATTTGAATAGGGTTTTTGCAGATGAAGTGAAGCGTTCAGTATTAACTTCTCAGCATGGAGCCATAAATGCATTCCGGAGCCAATGGAAGCAAGGATTTCTTTCAATTGTGTCGGGAAAAGAACTGTATGACCAAGATAAGGACGAAAAAAGTGCTGTGTGAGAAATCATCGCTTGTCATCGTACAGTTAATCCTCTTTACACTGAGTCAGCACCATTTGGGAGCGAACTGTTTGCATTCGTGGATTTAACGACGATGGCCGACGTTTTGAAGAGAGATAGAAACGTTTCGCAGGTTTTTTACATGACTTTTAACCGGCATCCTTACCGGTTTTTGTCTTGAGTGGTGTTCTTTGAAGTCTTCCAGTAGTACTGCACATGTTCTCTTTGCACTGATAAGAATAAAGAGTATATAGGCTTCCAGAGGCTTACATCGAGAACCTATGCTTTTATAAAAATACGATAGGAAAAGCCCATCTCTGTGATCATTAGAACATGGGAACCAAATCGAATGCCAATCATGAAATGTTACAGGAGAGCTGGAGGTGAACGAATTGCCTCATTCTTTTCCAAATCGGTTCTATAAGGTCGACATCTCCTTTCTAAGCGTTTCTGAAATATCTACGTGGTTCTCGATATTCTTGTTGAGCAAACAAGAGATTTTACTTTATTCTTTATTCCTTTAAAGCTGACGTGTCAGCCTCTGACTGTTAATAGAAAGTCGGTCATTAGAAATATTTACGGGGTTTTTTGTCCAATATAACCATCCAGAAACTTTTCTGCCCAGAAACCTTACTCACTGTCAAAATGTCTAGTGAAGAGTACCGTAATCAAATAGTCGAGCTTTCATAAATCCTCGTTTAAGATCTCGTCATTGTAACATATTCTAACAACTTTTATCGCTTTTGATGCCGTTTTCATTCTGTAAAGTCCATCATGATGGCATTTTCTGCTATCTTTCTATTTGCACTTTCCTGTTTTCATTCAGTATCTACGGCCATTATACGGTCTCCCATTCATCTCCCATTACGATCGTTAATATACATAGCAAGAAATATGTTATGTTTGCTTATCGTCATAAAAGTGTCTATATGGCTGATGGCTCGTAATTGCCCAGTTTTTAAAGGAATTCACGAAACGTTGAATTTCACTTTGTCTTGATAGGCTACAACAACTTAGTGCTCATCAGATGATTACACAATGGTACTATTTTGCTAGAAGAACTAATATTTCATATTCTTATAAGATTTCTCACTTCAAAAGGAAGCGTTGATCTTTAATCCTTTAATCGAAAGTCTGACCAAATTTTACCGATGATGGTCTTATTGCATGATTACTTAAGTCTTGCATTCTATCAGCGTTCCGTGATTTCCTCCTCATTCTCTCACTGGATTTTTTTTGAGTGTTCTTCTCTTACCAGCAAAAGAAATCCAGGGCAGATATGTAGTATATTAATAGACGTATTTAGAGCCTACAATGGGTTGGCGATCGTATGTGGCGCCGGTAGTGGGGAGTGCGTTCGTCTCCACACTGGCGTTTCTGCTCGGTGCTCTAGGATGTTCCTTTATTTGGATTGGTCTCATCGTCGTTCTCAATGTCACAAAAAGCTATCTATGGAAGAAAAGAGAACGAAGGTTGGAGCGTCTTCTCTAAAACTCTGAGCTAAGCTTTCAAACGAGATTATGTGATAGTTCATGAGTTCGATTCGATTACTCCTTCGTATTGGTAACTATCGAAATTTTTTTCGTCTTTTCTTCAGGAAAAAACACTGAAAATCGTCTTAAAATTTGTTGTGTTTCGTTTGATTTGGTTATTATTGCTTGTTCAATGATTTGGATGTTCACTTTAAAATGCATCGATGAACCTCATTACGTGCTGCGACTAGAAAAAGTGAAAATATGAGTGACAGAGATGCTGGTAGAGGTTTGTCACATGGCGTGGCGTGAATGTTGCTCTTAGTTATAGTTTTTATTAAAATGTGACCGAGATATATGATAGACTTCTGGCGTTGCGAGCGACTGCGACTCGAGAACGTGAAGTGGTGATGGCTCAGTTACAAGATCTGCCGGCCTGGGTTCAATTCCCGGACACCGAACGAGTGGAATGGCTCAACAAGGTCCGTGCACACATCATCGCCTTCACTGAATGTTTGTATTCAAGTGATCTTATCTTTTTTCTTTACACTATCATGTATTATACAGTGCTCGGAATTCATTGCAGTATTGGTGAATTGTTGAACTGTGTTAGTTTTTGGAATCCACTTCAGATAGCTCGTTCCCGAATTGCACTTGAGGCGTAGTTCTCCGACCACTCGGTTTTAAAAGTATCAATTTCAATCAGTTATAGTTGTTATTATTAGTTAATATTAATATTTATTGCTAATATTTCTGTCACGATGATATCTATCACCATTATGTTGCTTATCATCTGTTACCATGATTGGTGGTAATAACATGTAGCTGTAAGACTTTAAAAACACTGGTAAGAATAGGTGGAAAGAGTGCATATCTTTCCAAGATATTAGCCATCTAGCGAATGCCAGGGTATCACAAGCTATTTATTTAGTTGTAGGGTTATGTAGCATGCCTCCGAGTTGCAGGTAGAGGAACCAAAAGCGATGCTATAGTAGCCGCGAGAAGTAGGTGGTTTTACGAAATGGTCTATCGCTTTCTACCGTTCCTTTCCTTCTGTAGAGATGTATGCTGATTCGTGCATAAGTGAACTTGTATATGTAGCTGAAGTTCTACGCATCGATTCGTCCTAAAGCGTGTAGTTCCGTGATGCAAACTGCGAAGACCTTTTGGAGTTTTTTTTACAACAAACAAGGTATACTGGAGTCGGCCAGGAGAAGTTATTCCTTGTTCTCTCATGAGTGTAAAACCTCATAAGAAAACTATAGTGCTGTTCATGTCCTTTGAACGAGCGGGAACTACTGGGCAGTTTTTAAGCTGTGTTTCTCTATGATCACTGGGGTTATAGTTCTCAGGATCGAATTTCTATTAACCTCGGCATTGGATTATAAATTCGTCGTTTTCTGTCTCAGCATTCGCGAGGTTGTTAAGCAGCATACGTTTACTTCTACACAATAACACACATACTACACAACCGTAGCTGACGTCTCGGCAGAATCGCCTTCTTCGGAGCCGCTTTTTCACCTGTCTTCCACCGAGGAAGAGCAACTGCTCAGAGTCGCATATGGTTGACGACTCTGAAGAAGGCGATTCTGACGTAACGTCAGCTACGGTTGTGTAGTATGTGTGTTATTGTGTGGAAGCAAACGTATGCTGTTTAACAACCTCGCGATTACTGGGTTTATAGATGATAGAGTTGATTTGATTGCAAAATGGTGAGCGACTACAATATCTGTTTAGGTAATCCACCAACTCTGGCCTTATATTGGAGAATACGGCAAAGTTTTTATGACGGACTTCATACTGCCTCAAATCAAGGTTAGTTCTTTTGGAGGTAGTATGAAATATAGTCATTAATTCTAGTAGTACCGGTTGGCCTAGCCTTACGCAGATCGGCAAGAGTCGAACTAGAATCGATCAGTTTTTGCTGTTATAGACTGCCCCAAAATTTATTCGTAACCATTACTCAATTGTATATCAGGCCCAAATGCCTGGAGTGTTCAAGAATTTTAAGTTCACCAAAATGGACATGGGTGACATACCGTGTCGCGTGGGTGGAATCAAGGTACGGCATTAGTTTTAATATCTCAAAATAGCTGAAATGCTAAAGTCGAAATCTATACTTAAGGTATATACTACAAACGTCGGTAAAGATCGTATCATCGTCGATATGGAAGTGGCATATGCTGGTGATGCTGATTTTACTGTGTCATGCTGTGGATTCACTGGCGGCATGAACAACCTGCAGGTGTTTTCCCATTTTTCCTTTTGCTTCAACTACTACTATTGGCAAGGATGCACATCATTCATTTACTTGAGTTTGAAGTGTTTCTTGTTCTCATTACATTTTGATTTCATTTCTTCTTCCCCATTGTCTATGTGTCTCAGTTTTCCGGAAAACTTCGTGCTGTCTTGATGCCGTTGCTACCGTATCCTCCAATGGTTGGAGGTGTCGTTGGCTCGTTTCTTGAAATGCCGGTTCGTTGATATTTGGTAAAAAAAAAAGGCAACGGCCTGATTAATTAGCAGATATGTTGTTAGTTATCTCTGTTGTTGTTATCGACATATCGTTTCTCAGTCTTGTCTGTTAGGACAAACCAGAAGATTAAACTGAAAATCTTTTTCTAGAAAAACTTCGTCATGCATGATTTCAAACGAGAGAGTGTTTATCTGTAACGGAAACATTCGAACATGAATATTTACCAAAGGCACCTCGAATAAATATGTTTCAGTCACATTTTAAAGTAATTAACGTGATTTCTTAAGCATGATGTGCTAAAAGTTCAACCAGGAGTAATGCTTCGTGGTTTCAATAACTATTGATCGATTTGACTTGAATATTAAGTCTTAAATTGTTTGTCGCTATAATGTAGTTTATATATGGAAAGAGTTCTCGTGAAAATACCACTCGACGAACTATTATGTTATCGTTTCTTTTAGAAAATAGACTTCAGCCTTACCGGTATGGGTGAAATGGTGGAACTTCCTGGATTAATGAATGCGATTCGAAGTGTAGTCAACAGTCAGGTTTGTCCATTGCTGTTCTTTTTTCATTAATATTTTCAAAATCTTCTAATTTATCATTTATTTACCTTATCCATTTTCACGTCTACTGTGCGGATCCCAGCACTTGTTGCATCCCATTCGTTTCTTCACATCCATCATCCACGAAAGTTTTTGAACATTTCACGTGTGGACCGGGTGTTGTTTGAGGATTGTCGTCTCCTTTATGACTGTCTTTGGATGCTGATCTAGTTGACTTTTATTCGAATGCTGGGATAGCTATGCTGGAGCATACCTGGGTCGATTTAAAGGAGTGAATTGGGCTAAGGGAAATTTGGAACCAATTTTCCGATCCCGGAGACAAGAGAGGCTGAGAGAGTGAGTCCGAGGCGGGTTTGAACCATCACCGTGATTGTGATGAATAGCATCGCTACTACTGCGCTACCCATGCCATATTTTCATATATAAAAGTCAATTATTAATTGCTGATGGGCATTGACTTGCTGATGATTTAGGTCGCTGCCATTTGTGTACTGCCTAATGAAATAGTAGTCCCGTTGGCTCAAAATGTCGACGTTACAAAGTTGTTCCTTCCTGAACCTGATGTGGGTTATTGCTTTCTTTCTTTTCTAAACACCATCTGCCTCGTTTTTCTCCTCGCGCTCGTTTTTGTTCTCTGACGCCTTCGTTTTTTAGGGAGTGATTCGTCTGAAAATCATTGAGGCGAAAAATCTCGAAAATCGTGACATCACGTTTATCCATAAGGGAAAAAGTGATCCCTATTGTGAAATACAAGGTAATTCGAGACACTGCTCAGTTCCTGTACCGATTATACTTGGTAGTTTTAGTGCACAGGTAGTGTTCGAACTTGTAATGGAATGTCTCCGAGGTATTGCTCATGAAACGTAAATATTGTTGAGGAAATCAAAAGTCTCAAAAAAAGGTAGGGAAGCGGAAATAGTAATTTTATTCGATTTTTAGTTGGATCGCAATTTTTGAGGACTCGTACCATTGACAACAATCTTTATCCAGTATGGAATGAGTATTTCGAGGCTGTTGTTGATCAGGTGAGATATGCTAATATTGGTTTTAATGTAATGGTTAGAAAAGGTTACCAAGAAGTTCTCCATTCCATATGTAGTATGTAAGAAGTGGTTAAGGAAAGGAACTTAATTGTAGAATAATAACCACGTAACGGTAAGAAGCGCGTGTGGCGCAGTGCTCGGAGGACTCCCTGCAATACACGTGGAATCGATCCCCGTGCCCATGGGCCACCAAGCTCTGCATCCTTCTTCCCTCCGTGGTCTACCTGGTAGCAGACTTGTCTGGGAGGACTGCAGTACTGGGTCGATACATCGTTAGGCCACAGCGAGTCATTGTAAAGACCAGATATGCATTCAATCACCTACATACGGTCTTTAACGAAGTCGAATGCATGGCCCTTCCTTCAGGGATTGATCAACGCCAAGAGCCTTATCATTTTTTTAACGGTAACAAAGTCTTGCTATTTGGTGTTTTAAAAGTGTGCAACTTTCCAGATCACTTTCACCAGTCATATTTGTTTGTTTTCAAGTTTACTTGCGTGTCATCTAGTTGTTTTCATTTTTTTCTACTTTTTCTCTATTTCATCATAATTTACGTTGCTTTTCATTTGTAAATGACTGTCGTTGATAAGATCAGCAGCCTGATGTACATCTCTGGTAGCAATGTGATTTTTGGATAAAACTTAGGTTGTCTTCACAAAATTTTTGCCCTAAGAGACTTATCTATTTTTCATCTAATCTCAGCTATATTCTTGAGTAGCCAACATATCTCATTTCTTTAAAGGCACATGGACAGAAACTGCGTATCGAGTTGTTTGACGAAGACCAAGGAAAAGACGAAGAACTCGGACGGCTGAGTATCGAGTTGAAAGATATACAGAACAGAGGACAAGTGGATAGTGTGAGTGACCCAGGGTTGAAAAAACTAGCACCAACTGAAGATTAATAAGTGCATAACAGCATGTTTTGGCGATTATGTAACCGTTACAGTAATGAAGAGATTATATAATCTTTCTTAAAAAATATGATAACCACTTGTGTTTGTAATGTGGTAAGGTTAAGCCAGGAGGTATGACGTCTCAGATTTTTACACCAAGGTTGCATACCACCATTTTTCCTACCTATGATATCCGCTCCCCAATGTCAAAACGAGATCTATAAAAATCGAATATTAAAGGTTACTACAGTGCTCCATATGAGCACCATTTGTAATGTAGAGTAATGATTGATTATTAGTTTATATTTTTAACGATTAGAAAATTTATGGACCAATAACAATTTTATTACTGATGAAGTTCCTCAGAAACAGTGCTTAAACTATATTGTAAGATGTGTGATACAACCACAATAATGCTGAGATATTTGTAAAACTCCGGACCACAGGTGTCTGTGGTGGGGAATGAACTCGTTATTACACTTTCCGAGGGCTAACGCGTTCCCCACCACACCATGCGGGTTCTTCGTTTCGCCTGTCTCTCAGCTAATTTTCTCGATCGTGCCATCAGCAATCACCCGTCAATGGGATTGATTTGAATGGTCCAAATAGGCATCGAACCCAGGCAAGCTGAGGATTTAGTTGAAAACGACAATGTTAACTTTTTGTTTACTGCCGTTTACACTTTTTTTCACAGAAGGGTATTGTCGTGCAAACACAATGTTCGTTCCGCATCGCAGACACCTGCGGTCCGAAGTTTTGCAAATATCTGAGCATCATTGTGGTTGTATCACACATAATAATACCCTGCTGGGAAAAAAATCTAAACGGCTGTAAATAAAAAGTCAGCATTATTTCGTTAGTTTTTAGTTTTTGTCCACTGTATTAAAGAGCTAACTCAGCTGAACCAGGAATGAAATCAGTAATCATTCATACTTTCAGTGGTTCCCATTGGAAGGGTGCCAACATGGTGATCTACATTTGAAGGCAACATGGATGAATCTGTCGAAGGACCGACGACATTTGGAGAAACAAGAATGGGAGACTGAATGGTTACAAACCGACAAGCCAATTCATCCAGCGCTTATTATGGTATTCGTCGACTCCGTAGCAGATCTGCCGGTCAGAAATCTTTTCACAACGTAAAGGAATCGAGATATAGTGACCAAGAGGAAGTCTATCTAAAGCACACCTGACAAAGAAAATTCTGTTGGAGTGTGTTATCTCCTACGTCATACCTCAAACATGAGTAATTAATCCGTTATTTAAATAGTAAACCAGTACAACAATGAGGACGTAGCCGGATTAACAAACATACAGTTGTTGCATGAAATTTAAGGAAAACCTTGAATACATTGATGATATGGGATTATGAATTGCCTGGCTGAAATAGAGCGAATTTGTGCTATTCATAAGAAAGATGTAACAGAGGAGGGTCAAGCAGCTGAGCATCAATGAATTCGAAAGCAGATGGCGTTTCTTATACTGTGTTTGGACAGTGGGCAAAGGTTATTATAGGTAGTGGGTCCTTCCTAACTAGTACCTTTTTAAGTATTCAAACATTAAAACACAAGGTAGTTTTACTTAGCACTTTTGATCTAGGTGTCGAGCAAGTACTTGAACTCTCTTCAGAAAACATAGTGCGAGGGAAGTGGATGAGGTGGTAGAGATCATTCTCGGTTTTGCGGAAAATATTTTCTATAAATCGGACGCGCACATAGCGTAGTGTTGATACTTGATACATGGAGGAGAGTATTGGATCAAGTCGTGTAAGGCCAGTTTTATTTGGTGGAAAACTCTGCTTGTTCCGGTGAACTACTCATTTCAAGCCAATAGAATTTATCCGCTCATTTATGTGTTTATTTCATAGTCAGCGGAACTCAGCGGAACTTTTAAACTATTGTCAATCAGAGCTTCGAAAAGGAATATAGTAAAACGTGCCTAGAGATGAAAGCATTTCAAAAAAGCAACGAAATCGAGACTGATAGCAGCACCGGTTCGAAACATCTGTAGGCCACAACGAGTTGTTGTAGAGGCCAGATATGCATTCAATCACCTCCAAACGATGCTTAATGAAGTCGAATGCATGGCTTATCCCTCAGAGATTGATCAATACCGAGAGCTTTATCTTTTTTTTTTAACGAAATCGAAGGATTGTTTTGATTGCAATTTCATAAGAGACTCCAATATTTAGTACCCAAAGTCGAGACTTGAGCCATCACCGTTTGTCGAAGTCACACTTGGCATGAACTCTCAGCGTACTCCAGTCAAGGTATGTACATCGTTTTTGACGTTCATCGCTTCTTTGCACTGATAATTCATATTGAAGGTGAAAACGGTGAACCCGCTCTATCAGTCAAAATTTTTGTTCTTCGTTAGACATCCGGCTGGTCAGGAACTCAAGTTTGAAGTATGTCATTTTTTCGAAAGTCTAAAATGGACTATAGATAATGTAGAAGGTGACAAGTTCTACGTTTCTAAATATGTGGTTGGCCATGATGTTGATCTTTCATAGCGTTTTATTTTCTCTTTTAAAAGGACTTCATTTGGAATTTCTTTCCCGTAAAAGTGTAACTAATAAGAGTAAGTAGTCGAAAGTTTTGGAAGTAGGACATCATAGCAACCTTTTTTAAGAGGCCTTTTGTTTTTAAGAAATTCAGTCTTGAAAATAAGCTTACCGAACTTTCACTCCGTGTCTTCTTGGGATGTGTTTTTACATAGATATGTAAGTCATTAATAAAACCATCTTTTAAAAAACTATAAAACCATACTTATTATAATTCATCTGAAATCGTAATACCAACAACGGTTAGTGCATTCAATAATACGACAAATCAGGAAAAATAATGGTAGAGTAGGAGCAATCGGACTGAGATCTAGTTGAACGCATTCCGAGAGAAAACTCGGAAATGTTGTAAAGGTGTGAAGTTCAACGTTGAAGCATTGTTGAGGAGATATACCTCTTATCTTCTTACGAGAACTTAACACAGTGTTGATGAATCGTTTTCTGTGGCTTACATTTCTTGATGAATTGTCTGAATCACCACATGCAGTCATCTTGGTGGCAAGTGAGCATGTCTTCACATTTCCTTGGACTCCTATCAGATTTGCCAGACATTTTTCCATTCGTTCAATCTCCTACTGGGACGTGAAAAAATGTCGAGAACTTGGTGCAACGTGTTAAAGCTCAGCAATACAAATAGTTCAAAACTCGTATCATTGATTCGAGTGCCAACGGAGACCGTGCATTCCGATAACAGAGGCATTGAATGAACACTGTCAATCAGTGAAAAATCAAAAAACGGTTTGCGTCCATTAAATGATCCGATAAGTCACTTTTCGTTCAATGCGATAGCGTTTCCAAGCAAAATAAAGCGTCCAATATTCGTGCCAAATGATGTAGAAATAACACAGGATGAGCCTCTGTGGATTGTAATGGAATGACGAGCAAAGCGATCATGGTGCTGTTAACAAAAGCTATTTACTCTCAACAAAAGTAAAAATTTACTCAAGAAGATATTGAGATCCATCAACCAAAATACTCCAAAACTCGACAGGCCAATTTGAGAACGATCAGCATAGCATGGCAAATAGAGCATCACTGCGGTATTTATAGAGAGGTTGCACTGACTGCTGATCTCCTGTATCATCTGTAGTCTCGTTGATCGTCGAGTGACTCGAGCGGGCGCCAGTAAATCTTCCATTTTTCCCTGTCGCGTGCAAGAGTAGCCCAGTGGGTTCTACTCGCTCTAGGGACTCGTCGAGCATCATATCTTTCTTCAAGACTCCTTGTGAAGAACTCTGACCATCGGGTTAGTGGTCTTCCTGCAGTACGTTTGACATCTCGAGGAATCCAGTCACTAACGGCTGCTCTCCATCGGTTGCCATTCATACGTATTACGTTTCTGACTCACCTTATCTTCGACTATTTGGCGTACAGAACGGCATCTTCATTTTTGATCGTTGACGCAGGTCGAAGCTTCGGATTCCTTCTTTTACTTGTGTCATACAGATTACTCATTTGTAATGCACGTTCGATAACGCCGAGTGATCTTCCACGCTTCTTACGCAGCGACCAGGTTTCTGACACATATGCCAAGGCAGGTAGAATCATGGTGTCGGAAATATCGGCACGGAGTCGGGTGTTCTTCGTTCTCTTCACTACATCCTCAATTCTCTTGAAAACTTCCTATGTCGCTTGCTTCCTCTTGCTCAAGTCTGGAACTAAGTCGTTCATCATGTTGATTTCACGTCATAGATAGAGTAGCGGTAGTATTAGGAGATATTCGTTCCGTTGAGCATAAACGAGTTCAGCAGTGATAACAACAGCTATAATGACGATAATGATAGTACGATGAATGAATAGTGGTACATTTTACCAAGCTGCTTTGACGCGTGATGATTTCAGGCGGTAGACGATGGCACGCGCCGTTCACTCGGTTCGTTCACAATGTCCCTGAGTCAACTGATGAAGGAGCCTAACCTAGAGTACTACCAGCAGACATTCATGCTTACTCTTGGCGTGCATCAAAGTCCCATTGTTCTCACCGTGAAACTGAGGGTTCGTATCCTATAATTTTCAATTTTATTTCGATTCATATTGATTTGAAATGTTTCAGATTTCTATATTCTAGCGATAGGATCCGTTTTTTTCCGATCATGAAATCAGGATATTTTAAAACGTAACTCAGATATCTTAGCGGTTTTTTCCATCGTTGTGACGCGATTTTCCCAGTTTTTTTGTCCATCGCAAATTTTCACGACCCCTTTTTATCCCATCTAACTTACTCTTTGATAGCATTCTCCTTCCTACAATGACTTCATAAAACACATGTCTTAATTTCATACTTCTTGTCCGGAAAACTTCTAATGGAAAAAATGAAACCAAGAGAAAGCTATGATTTCTTAATGAGCCCCTTGTGTTGAAGAACATCATGTATACATATAACATATATTCATATGAAGCCCTTGTTCTTACTGTTTTTTGACAAGAGGTGGTCATTCGTGGTAATTTTGTTGGTTTGTTGTGCGTACTCAGTTTGCTCGTCGATCTCTGCAAGTATGTAGAGGAAGAGGTAGGTGGAGGTTACCCTTTGGAGCATTCGTGAACCCCCTCCGATGCACTTGAGTGTGCAGTGACTAGCTGGACACCGTCTACACACATTCACGTACATTCAAGTGCACCAACGTCTATATGCATGGATATAATAGTGTCTGTAGTAGGTATAAGTTTATTGAAAGTTTGGAAAGGACAAGAAGTCCGTGCGTTTAATGTTCCACAATCACTGGGAAAGTACATATTCACTTCTAGTTCATGTCTTTCTACTTGTCCACGTGCTCATTACGAGAGAGCCAGTTACGAAATTTCATGATTAAGCGGCTCACCTTAGGCGTGATCCCTCAGGCAAGAAAGAACCATGGGGCATGTTTATCAGCTGTAATGATAATCAGGGAGAACTGCACGCAGCGTAGTTACTGCAGATTCCCTGCAATGCACACATGGTCATTGGTTGGGTTCCCTTTCGGGGTCAACGGTTTGGTACCTAATATATCTAGGAGGATAAAAAGCGCTAAATAAAAATGTAGGTAAGCCATCGAAGGTTTTTTTATAAGTCAACTATGCATTCAATCACATCTAAGATATTTTGTGAAGTCGAATGCGTTGGCACTTCATTAAGGTATCGAAAAACGTCAAATCATGTTGATTACGATGGAGGCCTTATCGCACATACCGTTACTGAAATTTGCGTAATTCTAGAAGTTCTCTTTAATACGAAACTATGACTGTGCTATGTCAATTCTCCGATAGTCGAGTTCTAGTTTCTCCGCTAACCGCATGCTCTTTCTAGGGCTTCGTGCCAGCGGTGGAGATACTGGGGCGGACCAAACTGGATCAAGGTGTGCAGGGAAACCCGATGCGCGCAGTAGACGGGATGAGCAGAGTTCAAGGGCGTTTCTAAAATCAAAAATTCACCATGAATTTAATACTAAATTTTTTCCATGTAGTGCTGATTGATGGATTTTTCTTTAAATTGTTAAATTCTCGCATGCTTATTTCTTTATACGACATTCTAAATTTAATGATTGCTTATCGGTTTCTTGCTTAAGTTCGCCAAGGGTTTAGGTTAACCGTGACTTTATAGACTTTTCGGGTTTGCTTTTGCTTTTTAGTGCATTTGGAGTGCTTTAACGAACTGCTGTAGTTCTCCGCTTCGTTCGAAACCTAATGTTAGTCTCTGTTTTCGTAAATACTACTATATGTGACGCTGCTCTGCTTTAAGCTCAGACTTTTTAGTGTGTTTAGTTACATGGGTTGACCTAGCTTGATAAGATTTTTGATTGTATAAATGTCTTTATAAGCGATTTTTATAGAAGCCCTATTCCAGCCACAATAATAATAAATCTCTAAGAAAATCCTGAGTGGGATATTTCTTGGATAGCAAAAATTAAAGGAAATCTCTCAAAGAGAAGTCGACACGCTACTGTTGGGAAGATTTAAGTTGCCGTGGAAGCAGTGGTTTAAATTGATTCTGCATGGCACTTAATCTTGTCGGTCCTACTTTAACTAGGGTTACTAGAATACTGCTCACAACACCACATTGTATAGGTATACAAATTTTAGATAATAGTAAGGAGCAATGACTTCAATGTTCGTTCAAGATGAAATGACCAAACTGAAAGAAAGTACGCTACGAAACTGAGTTTCGATTCATAGGGTGCGGGAAGCTGTGCATATGCGGCCCGTAGCACCCGTCTGAAAAGGACTTTTGTCTTCTTCATCATTGGTGGTGGATTCTAATGTTTAAAAGTTTAGAACTTTTTTTTAATTTTAATAACTCAATTCTATTGTTTAACCGAGTTTCATATTGAAGGCGTTGACGAGAGGCGATCAAAAATCCATGGACGATGGAATTCTCGACGACGACACACTTATGCAGTATGCCAATGGTCAGAACGGGACTTTTCGAGCAAATTTCTTGGCTCTTATATTGTTTTAATAGTTTCTGCTGTTTAACTTGGTCTTAATATAGCCCTGAACAAAAAAACGGATCTTTTTCTTGAATGATTTGCGTATTAGCACGTTCAGATTTTACGCTGACGAAATTGAACAGGTGTTTAGCAAGTGGGGAAATCCTTATCGCAGCTATATGTGAACGAAATGTAACGTAGTTTTTTTCTGATGGATAATTTTTCGACAATTACTGATTCAGCAAGTCATATCGAACGTGGAGGTTGGCAGGAGGAAGTGAAAGCGAAGACCATGAACGGCGACTCGATAGCCGTCGAACCAGCAAAGACCGTCAATCCATCGGCAGGTGTTCTAGATCCGGAAATTAAACTAAACGCTGAGGAGATCACGGTAAAAATGTAGTTCTTTCATCCGCAAAATAATTTTCGTATGCATGATAACGTTAACACAACTTAGATGCTTCGATCGGATTCCACTTCCTCTGTAAACACCAGCTCGGGCCGGTCAACTCGTCTAGGTAGAATGTTCCAACCAAAACACGAAAAATCATCGAAGATTCGGTAAGATCATTCTTTATTCAAATCTAATGAAATATGGGAAATGTTTATTAAAAGAGGATAGTGAAGCAAACTTGGGGTTCTAATGTATTTACGGAGCATACCATTTAAGTACATAAATTGAAGGCTAGATCTTCATTTCCACTTTTAAACACATGCCCTAATCCAGTAAACCTTTTCTACAGAAAGCCTTCAATGGCTGTCTTCTTGCAGAAAGTATTAAAAATAATTTTATTCATACCAAAAGTATATTATGAGATTTGCCTCACTCGAACGGATGACAACAAATGTTTACATTTGGGAAATTGGGAAATTGGGATATATTGCATTTGGGAAATGTTTAGGAATCGTTCCTAACCTTCTTCAGGGCTACCGTGATTCGAATGGAAGTGCTGACAACGGTTATTGTTCGCAATCTGTTGAGTTTTCGTAGTCTGTCAAATTAGATGGAGTAGAACACTGCTGCCGTGTGCCATAATAAGAATTTAAAGGGTGCCTAGCACTTTTTTTACACGGCCCGTCTTCACATCAACTACGGATCCTAGTATTTCTTTCATTCGATTCATTTCCTCGTGACCTTCATTCACGAACGTTTGTGTTTTGGTTCAACCGCGACATGAAAATCCCTGATCTTCTTTATGGGTGTAGTTGAATGCTGGTCGATTAGATGCTACAAGGAATCCTGAGATTGCCATCACAGGGCGTTCCCAAGTCAGTTGCCATCCTCTGTTTACTAGAGGGAAATTTCTAGATTATGGTAACAATTTCCCAACCCGGAGGGATGGAGGTTCGGTTGGCCTCGGCAAGGCTCAAATGCGCATTAAACGGCATCATTACTAGTGCGCTACCCGAGCCTATGTATTTCATAAAGGCTTATCATTAAGACAACATAATATTTATTTATGTTAAGATTAAATTAAAGTCTTTTTGTTAATATGTGGGCATCGCTAACAGATGTTGCCTAATTTTCTAATAATTTCTGCACAGAGGAACCAATGTCAATAGGAGGGCCTGTCTCAATATCCTAGAAATAAGCTAGGGATGTGCAATTAGGCTGGCAGTTTTGAATTGTGAATTTGGACAGGCGTGGAGCACCTTACGAAATGCTGTGTTTTCAGAGGCAATTCGCCTCGCGGCGACGTTGAAATGTCGATTCGATACGCTGATGCCACTCGGAAACTGGTTGTGCAAGTGTTGCGAGCCAGACAACTGCTGCCCTGGGGAAAGGCTGGCCATTGCAATCCTTACGCGGTGGTGTGTTGTGTTATTTTCTTCAGCTACAGAAATGTGATAACTAAACAAATTTTCTTCTTATACCATTATGGGTAGGAGGCAGGTAGAGCAGTGGTAGTGATGCCGTTCATCACAAGCAAGGCCATACCAACCCAGACGCTTGTTCGGCTCAACCTCTCGGACACCAAGCCTACTCTCCCACCGAGTCCCCAAAGCGGTACTGGACGTGTCTAGAACCAATTTACTACTTGCAGTCCAAGTGAGAGCGATCCAACAGACTATCTCAAGATTTCAGGGAGCACTGACTTGACCAACATTTAACGACATTCCTCATAAAGTGGGAGAAATCTAAATGAACAGCCGAACCGACACGCAAAACGTTCGAAGAGCTTCATGAACGATGGATGCGAAGGTCGAATCGAATGCAAGTGCTAGCATCTATACAGCATGTGACATCGGATCATGTACAAATACCATTATGCGTTGGGCTGATAGTAGAATTGACATAGTTGCTGTCCGCCTGACAACAGTAATTTCGGCTTCACCGTTTCTGTTCAAGTAGTCGTTTTTCTTTCATGAAAAGATAAGTTATCAAGAAAAAAATTGAGAAAATTAGTCCCGGATATGCAGAAGTTTGAACAATATATCTCGGTTTGGCCATTTCTTTTTAATACTTATAAAATACGACTATATTATCGAAACGGATTGGCACTTTTTTTGAACTACTTCTGTAATTGGTTGGAATGCTGTCATGTTTTGCTAGTAGCACCTTAAATAGAGGTGGTGGTTCAAATGATTTTAGGTGAAGCTGATTGTGATCGAAACCAACAAGGAGTTGCAAAAACGTAAAACAGGAGTCGTCAAGGACTCCCTGAGTCCAGTCTTCGATAATCAGTACGTTAGTAAATATTACATTACAAATATCACAATAATACCATTACTATTTGGTCCCCTGGCCCTGTTTCATAAGGCCCTTCATCCATCCGAGGTCTGAAAATTGCTGCCAGATTTCTGCAGCAATGAATTGGTGCATTGGAAAACCGCCAGAGATCATTGTAGGCCAGATATGTACTCAATCACCTCTAACAGTAAAGTCGAGTGGATGACAGATTCCTCAGGACTGATAGAGCTTTATCTTTCTATTAGAAGTGTTAGCACAAATCCAAATTCGGTGTTCCGGTTGCCAACAGCATGCCTGAGACTACAACTGTTAGCGCTCGCTGTGGCACTGCCGTGTCCACTCATCTGGCGCTTGGTGGCAACGCTTAGGAGGATGTGAAGGGAAACCAGTGGCGATCAGGCAGTTCTAATCAGCGGGCTTTAAATTCTCCGCAGTCGACCATTTATAAAAACTTCATTTCGGCACTTCATATTAGTTGGGCGCCTTATAACTAAAGAAAAAAATTTTTCAAACATTTTTTTACTACATGCTCACATTAGTGAATAAATGATACAAAGGATAAAGCCTTCGGCACTATTCAATCCCTGGGAAATGCGCGATGCATTCGACTATATTAGGCATCATTAGAGGTGCTTGAACTCATATTTAAGCTATAAAGTGATTAGCCGCCGTAGCCTGCTGATATGTCAAGTGAGTGCTGGTATCCTCCCAGACAAATGTGCTAACAATTTGCCGACAACGGAGGAATGGAAAACTTGGTATACCCTGCATGCGAAATCGAAAAAAGAAACACGTGTTTATTGCAACGACCTTTAACCAGTGCGCTATACACGACCTCGCATTGCTGAATACTTATATCCATTTCGAATTCCCGGAATCCCTAGAATCTGCTCATTCGAATATCCATTGTTCATGTATTAACAATATATAGATCATTAGAATTGCATACATATGTACGTGTATATATATATATATATATATATATATATGCGGCTGTTCCGTCTCAACTAAGGAAAGTACTGGCGTTAGCATAATTTCTATTTGGTTGATAATTTACTGTTCGTGCAAGACGTTCTGTGAACTTTGAAGATAAAAGTGGTCTCTGAAGACGTCGCCATACTCAGTCGCAGCGTTTTTATGCGTCGAAATGAGATTTACTACCAGATTTTCCACTTTGCGACGAGGTTGCCACCAGGACGACAAGATTCATGGTATTAGGTCACCATTAGCTCATTGTACATTGTACTTTGACGTCAACGAATACACCTACTACCTATCCACGGTAGGAAGAGGGTAGTCATTGAAAGGGACGTAGAGCAAATAAGAGTGAATAAGCTAGAGTTACCGTATTTTTTATTTTATACGACACGTCTGCTTTGTGAATCCCAGCAGTTTTCACATTCGATTGGTTTTGTTCTATCCGTCTTCTCCGAGGTTCTTCCAACTTTTACAGGTGGCATCGAGTACTGCTTGAGGATCTTTAAATTCATCCTGAATGTCGTGGAATGCCGATCGAGTCGATTCTCACTGGAGTTCTGAGATAATCGGGCTGAAGCGTTCCCAATCGGACTGCAAAGAACGATTTTTCTTGGACTAGCCCGTCACCAATTTTCCGACTCTAGGGGATGAGAGGCTTGGTGAGCTTGGGGCGGGATCGAACTAGCACCGTGCGCGCGATGATCAGCATATTTGCCACTGTGCTATCCCCTCCCCCATCTTGCAATTTTTATATATCTTGCCTAAATGTATACATATCGATAGGAAATGTTTTTCGATAGCTTATTAAAACGTTATATCCCTATTCCATGTAATCCCTTATGTCTAGTTTAGAAAATAGCGCCGTTGGATAGAATTATGGTTCGATGTTTTTCTTCAATAAGCAGACACGAGGTTGTTATTGTAGAATTTATGAGGATACAATAGTTGACGTTTCGGCGGTTTCGCCTTCTTCAGAGCCTGGAAAGGTCAAATCGAGATGCGATCTACCCAGCCAAACACTTTGGCTGAGTAGATCGGATCTCAATCTGACCTTTCCAGACTTTGATGAAGGCGAAACCGCCGAAACGTAGCTATTGTATGGTGAAATGGTGAAAGTATGGCGTGAATGGACACACAACTAAGTAGATCAATTCCAGTTTCGAGTTCGATGTAGACTCACAAGATCTTCATAACTACAAACTACAGGTGTTACTAAAAGATGATACTAACTATGGCACATTTACGTCGAAACCGGTACTTGGCCAGGTGAGCTGAAGTCAAGTTTTTCTTTTCACTAGTTTTTAGTATGTTGTAATTGGGCATATTCTAACTTCTTGTTTAATTTTAAGATTTTGATTTACTTAGTGGTTTTTTACCGATGCGCTCTTTTATATGTCCTTATTGGAGTTTTTTATGTTCCGCAATATCTGAGAACGTTGGTACGAAACAAGTTATGGTTGAAAGTTAGCTCATTATTTCTTCTATTATTATCGTGCTCGTAGCTCTTTTATTTTATAACTTCTGAGCCGAAAGGCGTGTGTAGCGCAGTGGTTAGAAGTGCACTGTTATACCTATTTGCTAGTTCGTTCGATGCTGCGTCCCTAGTTCACCCAACCTTCCATCTCTCCGCCGAAGCCGGCAGGTTGTTAACAAAATTGGGCATAACAGGCTTGATATATCGGCATGTCATCAAAAGTCATTGTGCAGGTCAAATATGAATTAAGTTAGGCTTAGCGATCAGTGCCTTATGAGGTGGAAAACGTGGCGAATCATTTAGGGATCGATCAACGCCATCACACATTGTGCAGATCTCAGCACTTCTCTCATGCCATTCTTCACATATCCATTATCCACGAATGTCTTAAAAATTTGAATCTGGGTTTGAATGGCACTTGATAATTTTGTCTTCTTTATGAATGTACGGATCTCCTTCGTATGAGGGATCTCGAGCCGGTTAGCCGCGAGGCTACTTGGCGCGTCCCCAGGTGGCGGATAGGGGGTTAATCGCGGACCAAAAGCGACCTTTGCTTCCCTGAGACGCAGGTGGATCCAGAGGATGGACTCCCTGTTTCTGCTGCGCTGATTTGGTACATACTTTTTGTATTTGCTAGGCGTATTCATGCATGCGTGTTTGGGCGCGTTCTTGCTTATGCGGATTGTATTCTACGAGTCAATTCGGCCAAAAGCCTGCAATCAAGTGACTGGGACGTATATGGGAGGCGGTTAGTAGTCGACTCCAACAAATAAGCTCCATGTCCACTCTGGGAGAGCCTGGCAAGCTATCAGTGAGCATACCCACCCCCACATCCAGAGCCCAGCAGACTATACGTGGGTATCAAAAATACTAAACAGTAAAAAAAAGGGCCTCATTCTCCTGACCCCGAAAGAGCCCCAATTTCGCAGCGTTGGGTAGGACGAGTACGGAGAGGCTGCTGAAATCTCAGCGACAATGGAAGCTGCCTGGATTGCAAAGAACTATGGTGGCGATCTGTACCTGCAATGCACGTACACTTGAATCCGAGTCCTCGACAGAAGGTTTGCCCATGCAAACACGAAGGATAAGGTACGACGTCATCGGCCTGGCCGAGACGAGAAGACGCCAGCCTTTCAACGCCGTCTATGACACCGGAGAAGAACTGTTTTTCGGAGCATGCGACAGTAGAGGAGTCGGCGGCGTAGGCGTTGTCGTCAACACGAGTTTGTCCATGAACGTTTTATTTAGACAGCTTACAACCCGGATCGGACGTTTACGATTAAAAAGATGTAGATCAATACTGGCTTTGAAAATCTTCGTCGTTTACGCGCCGACATCAAACTATGACGAAGAAGAAGTGGAAGCGTTCTATATGGACTTACAGAAGTTCTACAGAGAAGACCACACATTCTTCAATGTCATCATCGGAGATTTCAATGCCAAGATTGGACAAAGAAGAACGTCTGAGCAACGTCACATAGGGTTCCATGGATTAGAATGAAACGAACATGGTGAGCAGCTCTCTGAATTTATCAGGGTGACCAAGACCATCCATGTTAACTCGCCATTCCAGAAGCCCCACCCTCAACGTTGGACGTTGGAGTCTCCCAATGGAGAATACCATAACGAAATACACCACATCGTAGTAAATAGAAGGATTGCCTAACCGATCTCTCTATCTATTGTCCCAAAATTCTACACGGGATCAGACCATCGTCTCCTTCGTGCAAAATTCTATTTCTCGCGGAAAGGAGAAAAAGCCGCCAAATTCCAAAACCGAAGTACCAGAACCACCGTAAACTGGGATTTATTCAATTCATTAGTTGGCTGTTGGGAAGATGCCGTTGTCGATAACATCGACGAAGAATACGATCGGCTCATTCAGCATCTTCAGGCTAGCGCTATGAAAGCTCTGAGTTCGAAAGTCACCAAGAGACGTCTGTCTCCAGAAACGCTCGTGCTGATACCCCAGCGTGGAATCGCACGACCTGCAGGCAACCGCGAACTAATGTCCGAACTTGCAAAACAATGTAGAGAGGCGATAAAAGATCTTAGAGAGAGAAGAGCAGCAGTAATCGCCGAAGCTGCAGAGGATGGGAAAAGCATTCGAAAAGCCCACCGAAGCTTGACCAATTACAAGACCAAGATGAATGCACTCCGACACCCAGGCGGAACAGTTACAGCGTCCAGAAAGGCAATGGAGATAATCACTCAAGAATACTACTCAGATCTCTTCGATACCACATCCACCTTCTGTCATATGAAACAAAGGAGGATGGATACGTTGAACCACCGGTTCACCCTTCCGAAATCCGATACACCATTTCGTCGGTGAAAAATCGAGCAGCACCGTGTCTAGACAGGGTAGGAACTGAACACCTGAAGAACCTTCGGCCAGTACTCGTAAACACAGTAGCTAGGCTCTTCACGCGTTAACTATCTGAATGCAAGGTCCCAACTCAGTGGAAGATCAGCAAGACCGTGTTATTGTTCAAGAACGGTGACCTTCACCAACTATCGCCCAATCTGCTTGTCTGCCGCTTACAAACTTTTCACTCGATTCATTCTGAACAGGATTGACAGAACACTTGACAAAGGACATCCATGTGAGCAAGCGTTGTTTCGAAGAGGATTTAGTACGATGGACTACATCCACACGACAACAAGGCTCACTGAAGTATCGCGAGAGTACAAAAGACCGCTCTGTCTCACTTTCATCGATTTACTGAAGGCCTTTGATTCAGTTGAGAGAGAGGCAGTTTTGGAAGCCCTTGATAGTCAAGGAGTCCCTACTCAGTACATAAAGGTTCTTCGCGAGCTGTACAAAAGATTCACAACCAAGATACTATCATTCTACAACGATATTAACATTGACGTCAAAAGAGGAGTTAGGCAAGGCGATACCATCTTGCCAAAATTATTTACCGCCATCCTCCAGAACGTTATGCGAACATTGGAATGGGATAATATGGGAGTGAAAATCGACGGTCGGCAATTAGACCATCTTCGCTTTGCTGATGACATCGTCCTTATAACATCAAACATTAGCCAAGCGGAACGTATGCTTGCCGATTTCGATAAAGGGTGTGGAAAGATTGGTCTTCGACTAAATCTAACAAGAACGATGTTCATGAGGAACGGATTGTTTTCGTATGCCCCATTCACGCTCAACGGAACGAATATCTCCTAATGCTCCAGTTATGTCTATCTAGTTCGGGAAATTAACATGTTGAACGACTTAGCTTCAGAGTTGAGCAGATGGAAACGAGCGGCTTGGGAGCTTTCAAGAACATCCAGAATGTAGTAAAGGGTACAAAGAACACCCGACTCCGTGCCCACTTTTTCGACTGAACGGTACTTTCTGTCTTAACGCATGCGTCAGATACCTGGCCGCTGCATGTGAAGGATGAAAGATCACTCAACGTTATTGAACGTGCAGTCGAAAGGACGATGCTAGGAGTATCGCGTTTCACGCAAGTAAAGAAAGGCGTCCGAAGCTCCGACCTGCGTTAACGATCAAAAATCAAAGCTGCCATTCTGTGCACCCAACAGTCGAAGATAAGGTGGCCCGGATACATATGTGTGTGAATGACAACCGATGGACAAGAGCCGTTAGTGATTGGATTCCTCGGGATGTCAAACGTACTGCAGGAGGACCACCGATCCGATGGCCAGAGTTGTTCACAAAGAGCCTCGAAGAAGGATATGGTGCTCGACGAGTCCCTATAGGGAGCAGAACCCACTGCGCTACTCTTGCGCGCGACAGAGAAAAATGGAAGATTTACTGGCGCCCGCTCGAGTCAGTCGACGATCAACGGAACTACAGGTGATACAGGTGATGAATGTATTTGAATTATAATTGGGTAGAACTCCGGAATCCTGAAATGACAGTGCGAGAACGTTGCTGGATTTTAACCACAAACATTCGCTGCCCTTTTCCTAGGCAAGTCCTGTGGCCGAACCGTTGGCCATGTGCGTTTTGTTAAACGACGGATTTTATCACTGGAATACTTGCACTTCTACAGCAGTAGTAGTATCGATAATTCTCAAATTACATTTTCTGGGAAAATGGATTTTATTTGACGTCGGTATCACACCACACCCTTGTCAGTACCTAGGTTTGTTTCAGCAACAAAGTTTGAAGGGAATACTGTGATCGCTCAAAACGTGCAAGAACGGCAGTATTAAACGAATCCATCGTCAGTGACTCCTTATCGATCTATAAATGACGCGAAAGCGAAGATCCAACGGTGGACTGTGAGGAGATAGTATTGAAAGACCTTCGAACTTGTGCCGCGCCAACTTGTCGTAATCTAAACACAAGGTCTGAATATTTATCAAGTGAGAATGAAGAATTTCTGATAAAGAGAAGACGCATGCGCGGAGATCCTGCTGCCAACATATAGAACGATATCGATCATCAACAGTATTTGCAGAAAGCAAGTGCAGACAGATGTTCGTGATATAGACAGACATGACTCTTCTAGAGGTGAAAAAAAGTGGGAAAGCATTGGAAAATGGCGTAAGGGGTTTTTTGACTACAACATTCTGTTTTCCGCTGTTTGAAGACGGGTAAGTTAGAATTTTCCATAATAGGATAGAATTGATAATATAGGAATTTAATACAACTAGCAAAGGAATATAGAGCGACAAAATTTAGTCAACCAAAAAAATTGGACGAGGGATAAACAGCTTGAGAGGCAAACTCTGCTGAAAATAACGAGCAGCTTGTATGGCGCTTGGGCCTTTGACGGAAAGCTCTGGTCATCGTGATAATCCTGACCCATATGCTCACTTACTTGATGCAACAGTTCCTCTACTCTGCGCTCTATCTCAGGAAAGTGAATCTATGCTACACACATATCGTAGTAGTTGAGCACAATACACAAAGCAGTCGATTGAAATTTTTTGAAAATGATGCGCCATCCTTTACGTCGAACCAGTTTTCCCACTTCAGATCATTGATGAACTCGTCTTGGAGACTTAGAAAAAATGTTTCAAGAGGTAAACATCAATGTTATGAGAAGAGAACACGACAGGTAGACGAAGACTTTAATGAAGTTTAAGATTCACGAAATCGCATCCAGAGCCATGTGCAGATACAGCCACTCTGTGATGGCGGTTGTAAGAGAGCGAAACGAGTAGAGAAAGTATAAGAACTGATGCGATATGTCAAGACGGGTTATCTTAGTATCTAAGTAAGTAAGCACTTTTTACACGTCTCGTTTTATTGTACTTTCTGCAGATCTCATTACTTACCTCATCCAATTCCGTTTTTTTGCATGCACCATCAACAGAGGTCTCTGGATTTGCATCTGAGTTCAACTTTAGCGTAACAAATTTTCTTCACGAATGTCGCTGAATGCTGGTCGAGTCGTTTCTCCGTAGCCAATGGGCGATTATGGGGTAGCCGTGCTAGGCGTTTCTAAGTCTTTGGACTAGGAGGAACCTCCAATACAAGTCTGGTACCAATTCACCCACCCTGGGAAGGGGATTGAGTGACATTGCAACCACTTTTACCGCAATTAAATTATACGTAATTTCAACCGTTTTATTTACTGCCTACTCTTCTTAATGGCAGCGTATATTGCGAAATATAACTTCAATGATGCTGAGACATTTGCAAAACTCTGGACCGCAGGTGTCTGAGGTGTGGAACGAACGCGATATTTTCCTTTCCGGGGAGTAACGCGTTCACCACCACACCATGCGGGTCCTTAGTTTCACCTGGATCTCAGCTAGTTTTGTTGATCACTGCCATCAGCAATCACCAGTCAACGGAACGGGATCCCCACCGTAGACACCTGTAGTCCGGAGTTTTACAAATATCTCAAGATCATTGAAGTTAAATAATACGTAGTTACTTAAGTAAAAAGATAAAAGCTGTCGGCGTTGAGCAATCTCTGAGGGATGCGCTATGTATTCGACTTCATTTAAGTACTGCTGGAGGTGATTGAATGCATATCTGGCCTTTGCAATGACTTACTGCGCCCTACTGATGTATCGAGCCAGTGCTGCTATCCTCCCAGACAAGTCTGCTACCAATTTACCAACCTCAGAGAGATGGAGGGCTTGATGGGCCATGGGCGTAGCGATCGATTCCACGTGTGTGTTACAGTGGCGCCTCCAACCACTGCGCCACGCACGCCCTGTTACTTAAGTAGTAACATCAACTCTCATTCTTGTATTTTGTATACTGACAATGTTAAATAAATAGTAATAGCAACAATAATGTAATCATTGAGCTGATGTCTTCATGGTCATTGTATTTCAGTTAGCAGTTTGGTTTTGACTTGTATTTCTGTCATGTCAACGGTTTTTACTATTTTTAGATCGATATTCGGTTAAGCATGTTGGACACGCACACACTTTCTCAACAGTGGGTCCGATTAGAAGCCGAGCAGAGTTAACGAAGCGCGCTGCTTATTTGTAATGTTTAATCTCATGTCTATGCCTCTTTTCATTTAATACCACTAAGCTGAAGCTTTCTGTGACTGAGTGTGTGTAGGTGTGTTGTTGTTGCCATTGTTGTTGTTGTTGTTGTTGTTGTTATCATTATTTATCGATGGTACGCTTCATTACTTATTCTGCGTCCGATATTATGATTTCGGCTGTTGATAGGTGAATTTCCATGAAACGACTATTGTGGACGAGGTAGCAGTGACAACGGCACATTCTAGAGCTCAAGGACTTTAACGGTCAATGAAAGCCACAACTGATAAAATTACCAAACTGCCTTGTCGAACGGTGAAGCTGTTCGGCCTCTCAGAGGACTCAGAGGAGAGTTCGTTATTATTTGAAAACACTTTTGTTACGTTTCAAGTTTGAAATAGTGACAGCTTGTAAGAATAAATATATTTATACAAGTTTATTCGCCAACACTGCAACAAGCACTGCGAAGTTTTTAGTGAAGCTCTTCATTAAACGGTCATTTTTCTTCTGTATTTTAGTAACGTTGCTCTATTTTCTTGCATTGGCCAGGAACCTAAGGTTATGCCTAGAGAGAGTTAGTGATCATTTTGAAACAACTCTAAAAACGGTTATACCCCACTTTTACTCCGCAAAGCGCTCCCACCTATTCTCGTTTGATTTCAACTCAACTAGCTTTGTAAGATTTCGGGGAGGTTTACATTTCGAGTTTATATTTCGAACATTTTCTTCATGAACGCGACTCGACTTTAGCGATTCAAGCAGCGATTACTTTATTAATACAGCTGAGCCCGAAAGAACTTAGAAAATGCAGTCCGGGCAATTGCATTTGTGGACCAAGATGGAGAGACCTACGTGAGCGTGATCTCACTCAGGTTTGCGCATGCATGTGATGCGAAAACCAGTCATTGCAATCGGAGTGTAAGCTGTTCTAAGAAGCGTTGTACACTAGACGTAGCTGATGTAATAATCAAGGGAGATTTCAGAATAAATCTTCGAAACTTTACCTATTCCACTAGCGCAATGAACTGTTGAAGGGGGTATTGAGCTTCCATTTTATAAATATTTAGGCGGTCCTTTGATTCAGGATCAATGAAGTAGCAGTAGGCATGCTCTGAATGGTCGTCTACCACTGACTGATTGATCGTATTTTTATTTACATCTACCGATTACCATACGCTGTGATGCGCGCTGGTTTTCATCGAAGCTAGGAACCGCTGCCATCCTAGAAGATCCAAGTCGCATGAACCAAAGCCTAGAATGGAGCTTATTAAACACTAAAGAAACGGAAATAAAAACAGAGTGTATACATCTTTGCAGGCGAGAAACTAGTTTATGCTTACTGATTACACAAGGCTCTAGACTTCTACAGGCGACGAAGACACTGAAGGCAGCTTCGGCATTGGCTTGGTTTGTAAAGGATTACTTGAACAAAAGTGATCGATACGTTTGAAGAAGTGCCAGTCAGTAGGCAATCGGTGCGATGAATATGGTGGACAAGGCAACGTTTCGTATCACAAATCGTTCAACCTTTGCAGCGTCGGTGGTGCGGCTTGGGGTCATAGGTTATTGTGGAGAAGAATTAATCCTTTTCCGTTGGTCAATAAAGGCACAGAAGTTTCTGATGCACTTCGTCTAGCCAATTGTGGCCGATTCGTGGACATCCATTCGTCAAGCTTCTTCGACATTCAAATATTCTTGACATGCTCTGAAACAATCCAGGCATTTGTATTCACTTATTTTGCAAGCCTAGTTCATTGGTTTCCGGGCAACTATAGGAAATATAGGCATAAAGTCGAGCGCTCGGTGCCCTCTTTACTGCTTCCTCAGTGCTCTGAAAGCTACCATGCTACGCGTGGTTGCTAATGAACCACCGACTGCAGTACGTTTGTCGTAATGATCTCGACGAAAGTTGTTCAGACGAGATCGTTTTTAGGTTGGTTCCAATAAAATTTTCTGCGTATACCAAAATAAATCCTTTTGCAAAAGTCTTTCGCACCCGATATTTACTATCAGCCGTGCTAGGTGCGTTGAACATGACCACGCCTCATCTTTCTTCTACTATCGAGCAACTCCACAGCAGTCGTAATGGAGAATTGCTTGAAGAACTGAGCGGATTTCGGCACAACTTTTAGATCATTCTATAGGCAGTTTGCAGTCTTCATTCGGGCCTTCCTTAACCTACCAGTCACATTTGGATAAGGCTTCGATCAGAATTTTCATCTGTTCACAACAGCTGAGGTTTCTGCTGATTTCGTCTAATCAGAGTCTCAGAAAGTCAAATTCAATGCAACCTAGTCAGCCAAATGCTTTCATAACATCAATAGAAAAGTTCATTATTTAGCTAATAATATAAAGCGGAATAAGATCATTCGCGGCTGTAGATGCTTAGTTATTCACTCAGTGCTACTCTCGAGTTCGATGATGTTGATTGTGCTTAAGCCTTGGGGGTGTTCGCGCTCCCGTAACTCCGTCAATTGCATGCATTCGTAAGCTAATCCTCGCTGCGCTCCTCTTCCCCTCTTTTTACTTGGCGATGTCCATTGTAAATCATAATCATTTTCGATCAGATGTTATGTCTGTCAGTAATTTACCTCCACTTATTATTCCGCTGTAGCTAAAACTGTGAAGAAGTTCGAAATCTCTGAGGAATATTTTAGCTCTAATCAGGAACGATTCCACGATTAGTCGTCAGATACAAACTGGAGAGATCTAGATAAGCATTGAATTTTTGGTATTTCGCCTTTTTTTGGAATGTTTTAAACCTGGACGAAATCTTAAGGCTAACGCTTTGCGTGATGCGTAGAGGTGCTCCTACGACGCAGTTGGATTCGTCATTGCTGTCATATTTGTCAGGGTGAATATTATCGCTGTCTTTAGGCATCGGCAGGTCCTCTTAAGTGAACGTATAAGCTAAGCGTGCATTCAAACACCTCTACCGTCTCACGAATTGGGTAGGATACATGACACTTCCTCACGGGATCGATGAACGCCAAACGATTTTACATCACGTTTTATTGAAGAAATGTCGTACATCGGTCCAGCACTTCCAAAGAAACTTCTCAGCCTTGTGGTTTTTGTTTTTTCGTGTATTTGGGTACAAGAGAAAATAATCAGGTAACCGTTTGGATGTGCAGAAATGGAAACCAAACAGTGTCTAGTATTTGCATGAGACACCCATCATCTTTCACAAAGAAGCGAGAGGCTGAGGTATTAACGTAACGGCAATCTGCCATTTCTTCTGCCTTTTTCTTAGTGACACTTTTGCTCGTCGGGCAATTTTAGCTTGTACGTTTCTACATGTTCTTTCGCATAGCCTTCGATTCCTTACTTTCCGACCTTTTCACTACTCTCTTCCCAAATGATCTCCATTCGTCTCAGTTCTCGTTATTCCCTTAGTGTCACTGATAGTGTCGACTGCTTTGTTCTGTTCCTGGTTCTCGTGCTTGAATTTCAGCTCCGGTTAATTAGTTCTTTCAATTTTCGTTTCTTCGTTAACTTTTTGTTTCTATATTAATAGGGTTACTCCGGCATGTTCCATCAATCCATCCGTTCTCTTTCCTGCTTTTTTCCGCTTGCATGCTATATAAAAAGAACACTGGTGCAACATCTAGAGGCTGTTCGAAAACGTTCTCATATAGTGCAGCTACAACTTAAAATCCAAAGCGATTAATAATCCTTGGATAAACACTATTCAGTTGTTGTTGTGGTTTTGATAAGCAGATAACCCGTTTGTCTGAAACCCAGTCCACCAGGGTTCACGTCTAGAAGCATTTCATGTTTCGTCTTTCTCATATGCCGAGAGATAGGATCACCAAAACTTCTCACTTTTATATGGAATTAATAACAAAAATATTCCACATCAACCTTTTTCTTTCCGCAATGCCCGCTCCGGACGTTGAAATCTCCACTAGAGAAAAACCACCTGAAATTCTTCCGTCTGAGGTTCGAACTGCGATAGAAGGCACGAAAAGAGGCACAGCTTCAAGACCTGATGGCAACACTGTCGACTTCCTTAGAACTAGAAGCCACAATTTACAACTTTTTTTCGCAAACCGTATAGCAGCCTACTTTCAAAAGGAAAAAATCCCAGACTAGTGGAGGACGCCGCGCATTGTCATCCTGCCGAAAAAGGGTGACCGAAAGGATCTTCGTAATTATCACCCGATATGGATAAATGATTTTGCTCCATGGACCACATCCAAACTGTGTCTAGGTTTATTGAAGTATGTTGGGAATACCACCTGCTCCTACTCCAAACCTTAACCAGTTCTGAAAAAGCGTTTGACATTGTCGACACGGATGCAATCCTAGCAATCCTCTCAGCGCTCATCAACCAAGGAGTGGACCCGTCTTACATAAGAATTCAGTGTGACTGTTGTCGAAACTGCACTACGAATATACAGCTCTTCCTGACCACTTGCCATACCCATAGGAAAAGTGGTTCGATAGGGCGACACAATATCGCCAAAGCTGTTCAGTGCCGCACTGCAGTGAATAATGAAGCCACTCAATTGGGATGAGAAAGGATACGTATTGACGGAAAATTCCTATCAAACCTTCGTTTTGACGACGACATTGTTATCTTCTCAAGAAGGAGATGATGGTCATCCTATGCGAGCCAGAGTTATTACTTCCGGAAGGAAATGCTCTTTGAAAAGAAACATAATACAAAGAACAGAAAAGAACATAGTATGAAATACATATTGATTAGTGATACCAAGGTTCAAGGAAAGTCGGTTTCGAAATGTGCCATGAAACTTGCCCGAATTCCTACTAATTCTTAATTAGTATATGAGACCATTTCCATGCAAATTTACGTGAATCCTTCATATAAATTTTCTTCCTAAAGACTACTGCAACCAAGTATTTGAGCTAAATTTTCTTACTTGGTTTTCTGTACAACTTTGTAATGTACCTATGGAGACTTGCACCTGGGCCTTTAGCATCCGAAACCATTTTTGTTTAGCCTGAAAAATTT